GTAGTGTTCACCGCTTTTTTGGCCTTCCTTCCTTCGGCGCACCACACTGCACCGCATGGATTGCACCGCGTCTTTATGTGTCAGCGCATTACTCAAACATACTAAGCCACACTACGTCGGACTCGTGCTGCCCAGCCGGGGGACTACGGCCCCCTCGCGGGCGAAGCAGCCCGCGTCTAGTATGTTATGAGCGGAGGCCTATCGCCGTAGCTCATATGTTATGAGCGGAGGCCTACCCCGAGTCGCCGTAGCTCATCGCCGTAGCTCCTACGAAGTAGGAAAGCGGAGGCCTTAGGCCGAGTCGCCGTCCGTCTGTCCGTCTGTCCCTCCGTCTGTCCACCAAGTCGCCGGTTCGACCCTCGCTGCGATATTCGCGCAATTTTTTTCCTTTTTTTTTCCTCTTTATGCGACCGCAGAATTTTTTTTTGCGTAATTCGTATTTCCTACTTCTTAATTCCGTAGTTCGACGCGCGATTTGACCTGCAATTCGCTGCGCGCTGTGCCCGCTTCGCCGCGTGCTTCGATTCCGCGCCGGAGTGGATGCCGTACGCGTTTCATGCAGCGCCGTTCTTCGGTTCTGATCCTTGCAATTCCTCCTGTCGCTGCGCTTGCGTACTTTCCAGCTTTTCTCTCACGCTTTTCGCTTTCCGCTGTATTTGTACCGTTTTCGTCGTTTGCGACCTACCACAGCTTAACAGCTGAATTAGTGTGCGTTTTCGCTTCGTCGGGTTCGCTTTCATGTCGGATCAGTTGCCTGGTTCGAAACGGCTCCGGCTTGGCTCGCTAGCGGACGGCTTCCGTGGTGGAAGAACACGGCCGTTCCTTGATTTGGGTGCGAGTGTTTCATCTGAGCAGCAGCAGCAACATTCCGCATCGCCTGCACAGCAGCAGCATGCTGCACAACAGCGGACGGGCGTACGAATCGATCCAACGGGGCCGGCAGAGGTTCGCCAGCAGACGGCAGCAGCTGCAAATATGCAGCTGGAGGGGTACCACCAGGATGAGGACCCTTCTGCTGCGGATGTACGCGAGAGATGGCGGCGCCAGAAAGCTGCACAGCGTGCGGCCGCTCTTCCTGAGCTACGACAGCTGCAGCGGCAGCAGGACGCTGCACGGCATGCGGCTGCACGTGCTGCCCCGGAGGTGAGGGCACGGCAGCAGGTGGTTAACACCGCACAACATGCCGCTGCGCATGCCGATCTGGAGGTGAGAGCACAGCAGCAGGTGCGGAACACTGCACGGCGCGCAGCTGCACGTGCTGACCCGGAGGTGAGAGCGCAGGAGCAACTGCGTGACACTGCGCAGCATGCAGGTGCCCGTTCTGACCCGGGGGTGAGGGCGCAGCAGCAGCAGCGGAACACAGTGCAGCATGCGGCTGCCCGTGCTGACCCGGAGGTGAGGGCGCGGCAGCAGCTGCGTGACGCTGCACAGCATGCAGCTGCACGTGCTGACCCGGAGGTGAGGGCGCTTCAGCAGCAGTCAAACACTGCACAGCATGCGGCTGTGCGGCAGATGCATCAGCATGACCAGCAGGCCGCCCCTAGGGACACACTATTGGCTCGCATGCACCGTCTTCTGCGCTTCACGGACCTTCATCGTGACGCTGCCATTGACTTGCCCGACTTCCTTTTGGCGATTCCAGAGGCCCGCGTGCAGGACCTTCCGGGCGGTCAGTTACCGCCTGACAGGCAGGTCCCATACACAGTGCAGCTGCAATGTGCATCGACCATGGCTGTTGCCTTGCGCCGGCGCATGCCTTCCCGTGTCTGTGCTGTGTGCTCGGAAGTGTGCTCGGAGGACCAGTCGACGGTGCTGCCTTGGATGGAGATCCCCAACGTCGACATTCTACGTGCAGACGTCATGTGCACGGACGCTGTGCAGCGCTGGGGACGTACTCTGGTGTGGCGGCGGATGGCGCGTACAGCTCAGGGAGAAGCACCACCACCGCCTGATCCGGTCCTGCCAGCTCGGTATCGTGTTAGCCAGGCTGAGCGGGTTGCTGCTGTGGATGGTGATGGAGCAGGCAGGCTGGTAGATGATGCAGCGGAAGGGGCATTGGAGATGGGTGGTGATGCTCCGGAGACTGGTGATTTAGAGGCAGCGGCGGCTGAGCAGGAGCCACCCGAGCAACTTCCGCCGGACCAACAGCCGCGTCCTCCGCGGGTGCTGCCCAGAGCCTGCCTTGATGACCCAGCTAGTGTGGAGGTGCCGTACTGCATGCGGTTGGAGGCGGATCTGCCCAACCGCACTATGCTGGTCGGCGATGGTGTTGCAGAACGCATCTTCGTATGCAACACCTGCCACAAGGCCTTGAGTGGTAAGTCAGTTTGTGCTGCATGCTGCTCATCATAGCTATGATGTCTAACTCAGTGCGGCACATTCTGCCTGCGTCTCTTCTGTTCCATTCATCTGCAGCATGTGCTTGCCTCTCCTGCCTTTGCTGCCTGCTTTCCTATTGATTCCCTAGTCGTCTCGGACCTACTTGCCCGTGCATGCCCCCCTCCTACAGCCCGACGAGTTCCCGAAGCTGCGCTGGCGCGCCTGGACCCTGGCGATGTGCCGCGCGTCAACCATCTGGGCGACCCTCTGCCGTCGCCCACTTTCCTGGAGGGACAGCTTCTGGGCCGCGGTCGCATCATCCAGCAGTTGCTCATCATGTACCTGGCAGACCGACCGCCGGACGTCTTCCCACGTGCTGTAAAGACTCACGGCATTGGGGTCGTAAATCCTGACCCGAATATGCTGCGAGCACAACTGCCGGCGCGGGCGTCCGACCTGGCCGGCGCTATCACGGTTGTGTGTGTCGACCAGGTTCGCAACCGGGCGGAGCTGCTGGAACGCGTGCAAAAGGCGCCAGGTCTACAGGTGCGAGGACAGGTCATCGTCGCCTGGGTCCGTTTCTTGCAGCACAACGACGAGGAGGAGCTGGCTGTTGATGAGGATGCTCTGCAGGAGTACGAACGCATGGGCTGTGCTGCAGGTGTGCCGGACGAAATCTTGCAGGCTGCCCTTGCGCCGACTGATCCGGAGGTGGCGAACGTTCTCCGCACCACCTTCCTGCACGATCGCACGGGTGCGGCAGGTGTGCGGCAGTTCCAGGACGTGGTGGAAGCGGCTGTTCGTGATGGCAATCTTGCCGATGCAACTGCGGCACCTGACATGGATCCTGCGGGACCGGTGCAACCTACGCTGGCGGATCCGACCCTGGATGCAGGTGTGTTATTTTGTTGCTGTGTTTGGTACGATCTGTTGTGTAATCTCTGCTTTCGTGTTGCCCTCACACTGCACCTCCTGCATCGGACAGCCGCTACCGCCACTGTCCCGTGCATCGAAAGAATGCTCCTCTTGTGCTGACAAATCTCGATGCACAGCCTGACCTGCCGGATAGGCTGGACTCTTGCAGCACACTCGCCTGTCCCGCTGGTGATGTGTTCTACTACTCCCCCGTGTATGTTATTGAGTGCAGGGCAACTTGCCGATGCAACTGCGGCGCCTGACGTGGATCCTGCAGGACCGGTGCAACCTACACTGGCGGATCCGACCCCGGATGCAGGTGTGTTCTTTTGTTGCTGTGTTTGGTGTGATCTGTTGTGTACTCTCTGCTTTCGTGTTGCCCTCACACTGCACCTCCTGCATCGGACAGCCGCTACCGCCACTGTCCCGTGCATCGAACGAATGCTCCTCTTGTGCTGACGAATCTCGATGCACAGCCTGACCTGCCGGATAGGCTGGACTCTTGCAGCACACTCGCCTGTCCCGCTGGTGATGTGTTCTACTACTCCCCCGTGTATGTTATTGAGTGCAGGGCAACTTGCCGATGCCTGCGGCGCCTGACGTGGATCCTGCAGGACCGGTGCAACCTACACTGGCGGATCCGACCCCGGACTGCAGGTGTGTTCTTTTGTTGCTGTGTTTGGTGTGATCTGTTGTGTACTCTCTGCTTTCGTGTTGCCCTCACACTGCACCTCCTGCATCAAACAGCCGCTACCGCCACTCGTCTTGTGCATCGAACGAATGCTCCTCTTGTGCTGACGGATAGTCTCGATGCACAGCCCGACTTGCCGGATAGGCTGGGACTCTTGCAGCTACACTCGCCTGTCCCGCTGTTGATGTGTTCTACTACTCCCCCGTGTATGTTATTGACTGCCAACTTGCCGA